CAGGTGGCATCATTGATGGACTCAAGTGTGGCAGTGGTAGTGAGGTTGGCCCAGGATCAGACATTGTTTCGTTCTGCTGTGCATGGGGTTCCAACTCAATGGCACCTGACAACAACAAAAAAGTTACCCATTATTTGGTTTAATAGTGTAGGGCAGTTAATTACTTAATATACCCCTTCTAACTGTATTCCTTTAGCTCATGATTATTGTAAACCCTAGCCTCTATGCCTGCAGTTATAGTTCTATTTTGGAGTGTTTTGCTTATATGGTGGATTAACGGTTAAAGTGAGATTGAAGTTTAAGGATTAAGATGGGACTAAGGAGAATTAAGGAACTAAGGATTAAGGATGTCCTACTGTTTCTTGGGGGTGTGGTGTATACCCAGTGTATAGGAAGAGTTGTGCTCTTTTGCTTTGGATCATGCATCTAGTTTATCTCAGTCTGACCTCTGCTTCTTGGGATTTACTACCTATCTCATAATCTGATTCACCAGCTTCCACTGCCTAGGGAATCTGTAGCCTGTCATGTAATTTGCCAATTTGGGTTCCTGGACTTCTACATTCATGTGAGGAGAATCTTATAGATGGGCGTCTGACCTATGGATTGAAGACTTGCTATCCTTTATAACTGTCCGAGCGGAGTCATGAGTGGCACTGCGAGTTAATGTGCTGGACTACAAAGTCAGTTTGAATAGCAAAGTCAGTTGTTCAAGCTCACCAGCTGCTCCTTGGAAACCCTATACAAGGGTCACTATGGATCAGAAGCAACTTGACAGCACTTAACAAGAACAGCAACCCAATTATCTGAGTCATTTCCGTAAGAGTGTCTGAACCCTGGGATGTTAAGAAGGGAAAGAGTGGTGGTTGATATTAGGGACTATGGAGTAATACATCATCTTGGAAATGTTAGACAAATATTGTTTGCAGATGTCCAAACACTTCTGTTTATGCTTTCCCGTGAGTTGTTTCAATACCCACCTTGCAAAAACTTTTCAATATCCATGTTTATTGTAGATTATTTCATAGGCAGAACCATGGCTGATTTGCAAATGATTTGCCTCATAATCCACTGTCACTCGTCTAATTGACAGAAGCATTTCATGTGCATACTCAATGATGTCATCAGACGTGGAAGTAGACACATTTTAATATAACTGGAGTGAGAATCATTTTTGACTCACCCTTGTTATTGTTAACTTCTGTCTATTCAGTTCCGATTCATAGTGCCCTGTAAAGGGTTTTTCAAGGAGGGTGGTGTGATTAAACTTCTGACCTTTTGGTTAGCACTACAGTGCTTTCCTATAGTAAAATTCTATCATGCAATTTAAGGCATTGTTTCTATCACCAAAGCCATATTTTCCAACTGTGATACTCCTTTGTTTCCATCTTTTGCGTTCCAATCTCCAGTATTTATCAGTGCATCTTGATTATATGTTTGATCAATTTCAGACTGCAGAATTTTGTTGTTGTTGTTGTTGTTAAGTGCCGTCGAGTCGGTTCCGACCCATAGCGACCCTGTACAGGGTTTCCGAGGGTGTAAATCTTTACGGGAGTAGAAA